AGTCTGGACGAGGAGATCTGGCTGCGCCGCCCTCCTAGCTTCACTGGGTCGTTCCCTCCTAGTACCCTGTGGAGCCTCGGACGGCCGGTCTACGGTCTCCGCTAGGCGCCACGTGAGTGGCACGACACACTGAGGACTACAATTTCTGCTCTTGGGTTTGCTCCGTCGAGTGCTGACCCGTCGCTGTTTCTGCGCACCGACACTTCGCTGCCGCCGTTCTACATCCTCGTGTACGTCGAGGACTTGGTCTTTGCCACTGCTGACACTGAGGCTCTTGCTCTGGTAAAGTCGGAGCTGTAGAAGAGACACACGTGCACAGACTTGGGTGAGCTGCGCAGTTACCTTGGCTTGCAGATCACCCGGGACAGAGCACGCCGCACCATCACACTAACTCAGTCACACAGCAGGTCCTTCAGCGCTTCAGCTTCACCTGGTCCTCGCCACAGGCCACTCCTCTGGCTACAGGTCACTCGCTCTCAGCTCCACCTTCGAACGAGTCCGTAGAGCCGAGTGGTCCTTACCCAGAGCTAGTTGGTTGCCTCATGCACCTGATGACCTGCACTCGTCCTGACCTTGCGTACCCTCTTGGCCTTCTGGCTCGCTACATGGCTCCTGGTCGGCACCGAAAGGTGCACATGTTTGCTGCTAAGAGGGTACTACACTACTTGTGCAGTACATCGGGCATGGCGCTCGTGCTTGGAGGACGGAGCGACGTTGTCCTCACTGGGCACTCAGACGCTTTTTGGGTTGACGACCTGGCTACGCAGTGTCGTCACAGGGTTACACCTTCAGCCTTGGCTGTGTTTCAGTTTCTTGGCATTCTACACGCTCCTCTTCTGTTCTCAGCTCGAGTTGTGAGGCTGAGATCTACGCCACAGCCATGGCTGCACAGGAGTTACGCTGGCTCACCTACCTGGTGACTGACCTGGGAGAGCGGCCTCGTTCTCCTCCAGTTCTGTACGTAGACAACAAGGCCGCCATTGCCTTGTGTCAAGAGCACAGACTGGAGCACAGAACAAAGCATATCGCTCTGCGTTACTTCCTTGCTCGAGAGTTGCAGCAGCGGGGTCAGCTTCGCCTTGCTCACAAGGCCACTTGGGCCAACACTGCTGATATATTCACCAAGGCACTTCCGTCTGGTGACCAGCAGCGCTTTTGTACTTTGTTGGGCCTTGTGCCTACGTTTCCACACTTGCTGTAGTCTCTTCTTGTACTGTGATATATATATATGTATACGTGCATGCTTGCTCTTGCTAGGTAGAGATCACTGTGTTGTTCTTGTTGCTTATATACCTCTGCATGTGGACCAGCCTTGTGGCCGTTTGCTTGTGCTCAGTGTGTGTGGTGACGTTGTGATCCACCCTGAGCTGTGTTTTGTTTCTTCTCTTGACTAGTCTTGTGACCATTTCTTCCTCTGGCTATCCCCCATTTCGCCTATGGGGGTGTGTCAAAACATATGCATATTAGTATCTAGGCTATATTGGGGCTAGCCTTAGGGGGTATAGAAACATTCTTGACACTCTAGTCTTGTACCCCAACCTTCATCTAATCACACACAACTCCATGCCTAAGATTTTAAGAAAGAGCTCGGCGAAGCATGAAGTTGCCGTTGGGCTCGACATCACGTCGTCGACAGGAGCAAACCCGCCGTGTGTCTCGTGTGTCGGAGGGAAGCTGGCGCGGCACACCTTCCACGACAAGGGCTCGGACGCCAAGGAGGCACTAGCTGTCGTGCACATTGACTTGTGCGGGCCATTTCGTGTGGCTGCCATGGATGGCAGCTTGTATTTCCTGGTGCTGAAGAATCGCCATACTCGTTTCGTGTGGGTGATGCCGGTCGCTAAGAAGAGCGACCTGCTGCGGGAGTTCTAGAAGTGGCTGGTGCTAGTAGAATGGCAGAAGAAGAAGTCGGTGCTGTCGCTTCGCTCTGATCGAGGAGGGGAGTTCCTCGGCAAAGCGTTCACCGACTTCGTCGACGGGAAGGGCATCGTCCACGACCTGACGTGCCCCTACACTACGCAGTAGAATGGCATGGCTGAGCGGGAGATGCGCACGTTCGTCGAGTTTGTGCGGACGATGCTGCTTGCACATGGGTATGCAGCACCACTTGTGGCACCTTGCTCTTCGACAATCGGTCTGGGTGCGCAACTGCTTGGAGCGGTCGACGACGCCGCGATGGACGACTCTGTACCAGCTGCTGACCGGGCAGAAGCCCGACCTTACGCTGGCGCGGGTGTGGGGCTGCATGGTGCAGTTCATGGTTCCCGAGCAGCAACGTGGTGGGAAGCTGGCACCGAAGGCTTGCTGGGGACTTCACCTGGGTGTGTAGTTGGAGAGCAAGGGCTGGGAGGTGCTCGAACTGAGCGACAACAAGGTGGTCACGTCGGTCGAGGTGATCTTCTTCGAGACGCTTTTGCTGGAGGTGTGGAAGGCGAAGTATGGGCCGGCGTCGGGGCAAACGCAGGCATACCCGCCGATGGATACCTCGACGGCGACGGTTCTACTGCTCGCCGAAGTTGGCGAGCCTGCTCATGAGGATGTTGTGGAGGTTCTTCCACCTCCCCCTGTTCTTGCTCCTCCCTCTCCTGACGCAGATTGGCCTACTTTGACACCTATGTCGGCCACCGGCGATGAGGGGAGCCTTGAGGCGTCGCCTGTGGCGCTGACCAGTGGCATCGCCGGCGGTCGACAAGACACCAAGCTCGTCGACCAAGATGGGAAGCCGTCAACGACAGGGGGGCACCAGACAGGGGAGCCGGTCGAACAGGAGGCAACAGCAGGGGTACACTCGACAAGGGAGCTGTCGAAGTTAGCAGCAGATGAGCAGCAGGTCGAAGGGTCGAACCAGCTGGTCGATGACGAGGACGTCGATGAGGAAGGGGAGCAGCCGGCGGGTGAGGAGTCCACCGACAGCGACGTGGTGGAAGTGCCAATCACAAAGCCTCAGCTGCGACGCACAGGTCGAGCTCGACGGCCGCCGGAGCGGTTGAGCTTCTATGCCTGCCTACCGCCAGCTGCCTTCACCACGGTGTACGACGAGGTCGACGACTACCTGTTGTACGATGATGCCGAGGAGGATGAAGACCTGCCGGAGCTCGACCCTGACATACATGCTGACCCCTAACACCGTTGGGACATCTCCACGATGACGATGAAGGAGGCGCTGTCGAGCTGGAAGGGCAAGGGGGTGAAGGCCGCCATGGAAGAAGAGATCCGCAGCCTCATCAGTATGGGGACTTGGGATCTAGTCGAACGCCCACAGGGGGTGAACATCATGAAGAGCCGATGGGTGCTGACGACTAAGTACCGCATCGACGACACTGTCGAGCGAGAGAAGGCGAGGCTGGTCGTGAAGGGCTTCACGCAGGTGTACGGCACCGATTACGACGAGACATACTCGCCGGTGAGCAGCTACGTCACGCTGAGGATCTTCCTCAGCATCGTCGCCGTCCTTGACATCAACCTGACGCAGCTCGACATGAAGAACACTTTCTGTAAGCTGTTGAAGAGCCTCTACGGGCTGAAGCAGTCGCCGCTGCTGTGGTACTTGGCGCTCAATGACGTACTAGTCTGTGCCGGGTGGAAGAAGAGCCAGGTCGACAAGGCGCTCTACTTCAAGGCCGGCGACGTCGGAGTGACCTGCTGGGTGCTGGTCTACGTCAACGACCTGCTCGCCGCCAACGGCAGCACCGCGATGCTGAAGGAGCTAAAGGAGCTGCTGGAGGCCGCCTTCAAGCTTCGTGAAATCTCGCCGGTGGTGAAGTACCTTGGGCTGGAGATCGTGCGCGACAGGCCGGCCAGAAAGCTATGGTTGCACCTGCAGGGCTACGCCGAAAAGCTGCGCAAGCGCTTCATTGACAAGGAGCAGGGCAGTTGAGTCCCAAAGACGCCGGTCTCGGTCGACGCCTACGCTCAGCTGACGTTCGACGACGAGGAGGCTCAGGAGCGCGAAGAGGAGGAGTACCGGTAGAAGGTCGGCTCGCTGCAGTTCGCGGCGACAACGATGAGGCCGGACATCGCGTTCGCCTGCAGCAAGCTGGGGAGCGGCCTCACGGTGAGGAGCAGCCAGCATTGGTGCGAGGTCGACCGCTGCCTCGCCTACCTCGCCGACATCCGCGCCATTGCCCTGGAGTTCGGCGGTGGACCTGAATCGTTGGAGCTGATCGGCTACGTCGATGCCGACGACGCGGGCGACAAGCAGAACTGGACGAGCACAGGAGGCTACGTGTTCGTCTACAGAGGGACCGCCATCTCCTGGTCGAGCTCGCGCATCAAGTGCGCGACATTGTCATCGACCGAGTCGGAGTACGTGGCGGCTACGGATGCCGGCAAGGAGGGGCGTCAACTTCGCTTCCTCCTTGCGGAATTCAAGCTGCTCGACGCTGGGAAGCCGACCATCCTCCGCGTCGACAACAAATCGGCAATCACGGTCGCTAAGGGCTTGGGGCTGACAGGCAACCTCAAGCACATGAAGCGACGCTACGACTGGCTGCAGCACATGGTGAGGCACGGGAAATTTGTGCTCAAGTACATCCCGACCATCGAGCAGCTGTCACGAGACGAACTTAGCTAGGAACGGGTTTATCTAGGGCCTAGGCTTAGAAGCCTAGGCCAAGCGGGAAGGAGAAATGTCGAGAATGGTTGGGTTCACTATAGGACCAAAGGTACATATAGCAAACAAAAGCACCACCAAGCAAATAATCAAATAACTACATTATAGTAACTACAGCAAGCAGGATATATTAAACATAACATTGACACACCCCCTTAGCCTGCTTGTAGTAATAACTAGTGCAGTCAACACCTCCTGAAGGGGTAGAGCAGGCACGGTGGGAGACGGCAGAGGGGTACGTGAGGGGAGGCGGCGAGAGGGAGAGAGGAGAGGAGAGGAGATGAGAACACAGGAGGAGGTGAGTGAGGGATGAGGAGAGGAGGTGGGGGGGTGGCCGCGGCATCCCCTCTTACTAACCCCCTTTTACGAAAGGGGGGTTGAGTGGGGGATGAGGAGAGGAGGTGGGGGGGTGGCTGCAGCGTCCCCTCTTACTAACCCCCACATCCCCACCCCTAATCAACCACCCTCCTTCAACCTCACCCCCCATTTCAGCCGCCCCCTGGAACCGCACCCCCTCCCTCCCTTCCTTCCTCCACACCCCTGCCCCACCCACACTTGTCTTTGCCCTGTCCTTCACACGGCAGCCAGCCCTCCCACCCCCTCGTCCCTGCTACCTACCCCCCACACTAGCAGCCGTGGGAGGGGAGAGGCAGGGCAGAGGGTGGTTCTCTTGGGGGTTCTCTACTGGCGGGGTTCTCTGCTAGCGGGGTTCTCTGCTGGTGTGGTTCTCTGCTGGCGGGGTTCTCTGCTGGCGGGGTTCTCTGCTGGCGGGGTTCTCTGCTGGCGGGGTGCTCTGCTGGCGTCTGGTGCTGGTGCTGGCGTCTGGTGCTGGTGCCTGGTGCTGGCGGCTGGCGCTGGTGCTGGTGCCTGGTGCTGGCGGTGGTGCTGGTGCCTGGTGCTGGTGCCTGGTGCTGGCGGCTGGTGCTGGTGCCTGGTGCTGGCGGCTGGCGCGGGTGCTGGTGCCTGGTGCTGGCGGCTGACATCCGCCCACCACCCCCGTCCCCAACTCCTCCCCCCTCATGAACCACCAACCCCCACTCCCCCTCCCCAGCCGTCCCCCACGGGCCAACACACCACCACCTCCCCCTCCTTTTGGAAACGGAGCGGGATCTGACGGCGGGGAAGGGACGAGGCGGGACGACAGAATGGTCGCGGGGTGCGGGCTCGGACGGGATACGGGGGATCTGCGCGGACGGTTGGTGAGCTGGCTGGCGATCAGCCGCCACGCCCTTCGCGTTCCCCTCTCTCTTCCCCACAGCGACCGTCGCTGCACACGTGAGTAGCCGCGACGAGGAGATGAGCGGGTGGCGAGGTGCGTACAGGCGACAGGAGGCGAGCAGGAGGCAGGATGCGTACGGGGCATAAATCTGGGTGCGTGCTGGGCGCGGACGAACTGACGCCGGCGACGGTCGATGGCGCAGGTCAATGGCGGTCGTCGTTGACGGTGCATTTGTCGCGGTTGGCGCTGGTTAGCGTCACTCTCGCGGCTGATGCTGGACGGCGCAGATGTCGCTGCTGGTGCTGGTCGTTTGCGGCTGGCGGCTGTTACGGCGGACTCGACGGCGGATCCGTCGACTCGCATGGCGTGCTCGCTGGCGATGTCGCTGGTGCGCCGCTGGCGATTTCGCTGGCGATTTTGTTGGCGGGTTGCTAGCGTTCGCCATAGCTTCCGTCGCGGCCGTCGTGCTGAGCGCCACGATGCGACAGGCGACGGGACGCCCGCGAAGGTACTCGCCGTGGCGCCCGTCACCACGGTCGAAACTAAGGACGTCACGGGCGCCGTGACGAGTGCGTCAAATGGTGGGCCCATAGGAACGTTACGGCTCGATACCATGTCACGAGCCGAACTTAGTTAGGAACGGGTTTAACTAGGGCCTAGGCTTAGAAGCCTAGGCCAAGCAGGTAACGAGTAGTTTGTGCCAAGGAGAAATGTCGAGAATGGTTGGGTTCACTATAGGACCAAAGGTACATATAGCAAACAAAAGCACCACCAAATAAACAATCAAATAACTACACTATAGTGACTACAGCAAGCAGGATATGTTAAACATAACTTTGACAGCAGCCGGCAGACTTCCTGACGGAGGCGCCGCATTTTCCGGCTTTCAACCGGTGCTCTGTCGCCATCGGTCAAGTTCGTCTGGCCGACGTCGGGGACAGCGACGACGAGGTGCAGCAGTAGGTGCCGTGCCCTTCTGCACGACTAGTGCGGTGACGGCGTGCTGTGTGTGGGGTGCACACCGAGGACGAGTTTTCTCCGTGGAGTACTGCCGTGTGGGCTCGAGGCTCAAGCGTGAGCGTGGCAGGGGAGTGTTAACGGGAGTGGAGTGTTGGCCTCGCCCTCACTTGGGCAATGCCGACGACTTGGTCGGATGTACGAGAGTAGCAGCCGATCGTTCACAGCAAGAGAGCTGCTCGACAGGCTTCGTTGAGGTGCAGGGAGCCGCTGTGGTGTTGCTGTCGACCAGGGAGCTCGACAGCTGCAACTGACTGGTCTGGGCAATGGGTGAGCCGTTGACCAGGAGGGGCAGTTCGACCGGAAGGTCGACGGAGCAGTCTGTTGACCTCCAGCTCGACTGGGAGCAGTCCGCCGACCTGCACCTCGAACAGGAGGTCTCCGTCGACCTGCGGCTCGACCGGGAGGGCTCCGTCGACCTGCAGCTCGACCGAGAGGTCTCCGTTGACTTGCAATTCGACCGGGAGGTCAACGAAGCAGTCCGTCGACCTGACAAGTGAGCAGCGGTCGACGAGGGGAGCTCGGCGACAACCGCTAATGGTTTTGGTCGACGGAAGGGGTCCGTCGACTAGGGGGTAGGTTGACCGGAGTTGTGGTCGACCAGAGGCACCTGTGGGTCGACCAGAGTACCTGGGGGTTGACCTGGTCGATCGGGTAACCTGGTCGACGAGTTCTGCGGAGGCACGCGAAAGTCGTCAAGGTCGCAATGGCGCAGGCGACTTCAGGGTGGTATTCCGAAGTCGATATGGCTCGTCAGGCGCAGACAACAGCCGACGGATGCCCAACGAGGCAAGTCAGGCCAATCGTCTGCGCGCACCTGCGATCGTGCACACTGCTGTGTTCTACGGGGCAATGCTGGACAGCGTTGGCACGCCGTCGACCTGCTCTGTTGGCAGGTCGCCCTTCTGCAGTGCTGGCGCGGCTCCTCTATGCAACGCTGGCAGGCGGTCAACCTAGCTGTGGTGGCGGTCGACCAGGCTAGCGGCAGAGTTGCTAGGTGCCTGATGTAGTCATTATGTCATTGCTTGCTCAATCATTCTGTAATTCCACCTTTGCTAGTGGAAACTCTTGCTGATTTCTCCCGTGAATGTGCAAGCACTAAGGAACTAAGCAAAGCTACGATCACTCCTGGTAGCTCATGCCAACCCCCGTAGTCTAACGCACTACCATTGTAGAGTGACTCTCCGCATGGTGCGGTGAGCGTGGACGGCACACGACTTACCTTTCAGTCAGGTCGACGTAGTGGTCACTTACCTATGTTGCTCGTAGGTCGGTAGCCGTACAGTTCCTAGCGTGCGCATAGGTGAGTCAGAGGTGATGGACCCCCTTGAGGGACGGCTGGAGGATGCGAGGAGATGCCATGAGGCCCAAGAGTACGGGGCGATACCCTGGGCGGTCATCGAGGCTGGACTCCGCTCCTTGTGGGCGACGAAGCATCCCCCTTCCGGACCGGCTTCTCCTCGACCGGTGACCAACAAAGGCGGCATCGACATGGGCATCAACGCCGGAGGTGTCCAAGTCCACAGCAGTGCGGGAGGCACATCGAGGTAGCGAGGAGTGATTCACGCCGATGAAGTCGGCGGCGTTAAGGCGCGAGGAAGGCAGTCTTCGGCGGCTGCAGGCTCCTCGCAGGGTGGCATCGGAGGTCGACGAACCAGACTGTCGCCGATGTCGGCGACACAGGTGACGGCGGGCGGGATAGCACCGAGCTACGGTTACTTCAAGTTTACGCCGGATAGGATCTTGGTCACCCCGCCACTCACCGATCGACCTGACATTCTCACCTAGAAGGAGGCCATCGAGCCTCAGCTGGAGATGGCCGGGCTGATCAGCTTTGCTCGAGTCACCGTGGCGACGCCAGACGACCCCGACCTGCATGCGTAGTTCCGCGCCGTGCAGCTGTTGACCTTCACGGTCATCTCGCGGTGTTGCTCGCCGTGCGTGCATATCGCATTGAAGTGGTGCCGAGAGTACCTTGATGCCAGCCACCCGGCGTGGCACTTCATCGAGTCGACCTACCAAGTCACCGATGACTTGTTCATCGCCCAGCTGGAGGGGCAGCTGACGCACCTGTGTATGGGCGACAAGGAGACGACGACCAACTACTGCAACCGGGCCCGGCGAATTCTCGCCACCATCAGGATGGCTAGCGCGCAGTACTCGACGGCGTCGTACGTCACCCACGTCATGCACGGACTCTCAAGCAGCTACAATCTCCTGAAGCGGCTGTTGATGGCGCCGAGCACGAGGACGACGCTCAACAAGGACAACTTGACCTCGTACATCCTGCAGGACAAGGCGATGCAGGAGGCAGAGCGGTCCCAGGAGCTCTTGGCACAGGCAAACTTTGTCCCAGGAGCTCTTTGTCACCGGGGCAGCTCGGACAGTCTGGCGGCGGTGGTAACAGTGGCTGGAAGCCGGCCAAGGAAGCCGACAAGAAGAAGTCGACCAAAGACAGCGCTCGAGGAGGAGGAGGTCGACGTCAAGAGTGCTGGCTGTGTGGCGACCCCGACCACCTCTCCTTCGAGTGCCCTGACCGCAATGACTCGAGGCCGTGGGAGGTCTGGTAGCCGTCATCCTCATCGTGGAGGAAACAAGCCGCGCAAGGAGAAGCAGCCGACCAAGGCGCGGGACGACAAGACGGCGTCGTGCTCGTTGGTCGGCGTCGTGGAGCCAACTGTCGCACTGGCATCGGAGGCCGGAGAGGACTTCCAGGCGGTGGCGGCAGCTGTGCAGGCAAACCCGGCGGTGGTCCTGCTCGACAGCGGCTGCTCCCACCACCTGATGGGGAGGAAGGAAGTCTTTGTCGACCTGCAGCCGAACAACTCCATCAAGCACGTGCGCGGATTCAATGGGGCGCTGTAGGACGTCCAGGGCCACGGCACCGTCGCCCTATAAGGGGAGGGTGGGAAGCAGGTGCTCATCACCGACGTGTTGTATGTCCCGGGTGTGCGGGTAAACCTGCTATCATTCGGCCATCTGAAGGAGCACGGTGTGAAGCTGCAAGAGGACGGCGACGGGATGCTGCTCGTCTCGGCAACGGGAGAGGTGCTCGGTTGGGCGACGTACTCCGGGCGTGTCCTCTGCACCGACTTGCGTCCCTGCTCAACGAGGTCGACGTCGCCCATGCCGGAGGTTGTGGCCCTGCGGGCGATCACCTCGAAGACAAAGTTGACGCCGAACAGGATGCATGCGAGGCTTGCGCACGTAGGCATGGACACCATACGGAGTTCGGCGAAGCACGGGGTCGCTACTGGGCTGGACCTCAAGTCGACGACGAGTGCCGACTCACCGTGTGTCTCGTGCATCGGCGGGAAGCTGGCGCGACACACCTTCCCCAACCAAGGCTCCGACGCCGACGACGTGCTGGCCGTCGTGCACATCGACCTGTGCGGTCCATCCTGCGTGGCTGCCAAGGACGGTAACTTGTACTTCTTGCTGCTGAAGGACCGCAAGACCCGCTACGTGTGGGTGAGGCCGGTCGCCAAGAAGTCGGATATGCTGCTGGAGTTCCAGAAGTGGCTGGTGTTGGTGTAGAGGCAGGTGAAGAAGTCGGTGCTGATGCTGCGCTTAGACCGGGGAGGGGAGTTCCTCGGGAAGAAGTTCACCGACTTCGTGGATGGCAAGGGGATCGTCCACGACCTTACCTATCCGTACACCCTGCAGCAGAACGGCATGGCGGAGCGGGAGATGAGGACGGTGGTGGAGTCGGTGCGAATGATGTTGCTGTACATGGGCGTGCAGCACCACTGATGGCACCTCTATCTACGACAGGCCGTCTGGGTCCGCAACTGCCTTGAGAGGTCGACGCTGCTGCCGGGGACAACGCTGTACCGGCTGCTCACCGGGCAGAAGCCCGATCTGTCGCTGGCACGGGTGTGGGTCTGCATGGCACAGTTCTCTGTCCCCGAGCAGCAGCGTGGTGGGAAGCTGCACCAGGTGGGGCCTTCACCTCGGCGTGTCGGGGGAGAGCAAGGGCTGGGAGCTCCTCGACATCGACCCCAACCGGGTGGTCACCACGTCGGACGTGTTGTTCTACGAGGATTG